AATCTTTTCTCCGCTAGTTGGAGTTGCATAAATAACAAATGGTGTACCTTCCTTGGACGATGTTACAAACGCTCTTGCTCTAATAAATAAGGATTTTTTGATTCGAGATCTTCTAACAGACTTACTCTCGAAATATTCTATAGGAAATGTCATCCTTCGTAACTTCCAATCTATAGATGGATTATGCATTTCTAACTAAGAAAGACCAAGATTGATAGGGTTTGATGAGGTTTTAATAATATTAAAAATAATATAACTACTATGATCTTTAAACATCACCTCTATAGGTTCTGATTCATGGATGATACTACCAGACAATAAAGATCGTCCATCTATTACTTCTATGTAAACGGGTTTAGATTTTTGTACTAGAAGAATTTTGTTATGCTTAGCAAATTCTTTGTCTAAAAAACAAGCAGATGCTCCTAAATCTAATAATACTAAGATTTTTAGTTTTTGAGGGCCAAAAGATAGAAAAACGGTAAAGCAATGGGCAGGTTGAGCAGAAAGAGAGGAACCTAATTGTGATTGTGGTATTGAATTGTCTAGCCGCACAGTTCCTATTGTGGTTGGGCATCCTCGTTTTCTTGAACAAACGCGCCTCTAGTCCTGACAATGCATCAATTTTGCTTCTTGAGACAATTTCCAGCTCTGTGGCCTTCTTTACCGCAATACAAGCATAGTCCTTCCTCCATACGCCACTTTTTTTCTTCTAGAGTTAGGGATTTGACACATACCACATGAATTTACATGTCTTCTATCTCTAAATGTGAATTCAAGCTACTTGTTGATATAGTTGGAGCGTGATAAGCCGTATGTTATCTTAAGCATTGGTCTTGACGACATTGAAACAGGCAATTATCGCACTTCATAGCTTGGCTAATGGCTTTGTTGAGCATTCACGGATTGAGAAGAAATAATAACAAATCCTTCACGTCGTCGCTCAAATTCTAATTAAATTGATTCATCAATGCTTCCTTGTTCCAGTTGATGTCGCAGGCTAATTGTCTGAGATCTGATGTGTAGGCTGACGTGGAGCATGCCCCTTGTCGTAGCGATCAAATCTTTATTGTAGTCCATTGCGTCTTGTCATGTTCTCCAAATGCTTCCACAAACTCCTCCAAAAAAATTTCAAAGTTGTTCAAAATTGACAATCTTTTCTCAAACAAAGGAAAAAACCATGATAGAGCTTGCCCCATGAGCAAAGTTCCAACCAATCCAATACGTGACTCCTCTGTCGGATAGCGTTCACATTGTAAAGCTATTATCAATCTTATTTACTTGATAAAACCTCAAAACTTGGAACGAGTACCATCGAACTTGTCTAGAAGGCTAATTTAGGGTTCTTTTTGTTGTAAGACCAACGGTCCTTGTTGAATTAGAGGCAAAGCTGTTTCTCTTGGTGCTGAAGCTTGACGCTGAAAAATCATCGATTGTACCATCTCGGATGCTCCATCATTATGAAGTCTTGCAATAATTCCTTCAATCTCTATAATTCTCTGTGCTAACGTAGCAAGAAGATTTATAATGGCATCCAACTTGGACTCTGAACTTTTAGTCATACTAATATCTTGACCTCCGACCATTCTAAGAGAAGGAAAGAAATGACTATGCAAGAAGGCAGTCTTGGGTTAGTGGAGGGTACTCCACAACCTCTAAAACGCCTTAAAATCTTCAAGAAGAGGGATAATCCACTCTCTCCAAGAAAAATAAGTCTCTAATATTATAATAGAAAAAATATCACTTTAGAGGAGGGTAATCCGCAACCTCTAAAATGCTAGCACCTACAAGCAGAGGGATAATCCATACTCTAACAAGAAAGAACTAGCTCTGATATGAAAGATGAGTGTAGTCTCGACAAACTGTCACGAATTTACAATACTGACTGGAAATCTAAACAAGAAGCTCAAGAAGAATCCAAAAGAACTAGATTAATCAGATGAGTATAAGAACAACACTAGAGAGGTGAGCTAGAGCTCTAAGAAGTATGTTGTCTAAACTGAGGATCTCCTCAGTCTCAGCTCCCATATATACTACAAGCTAGGAAGCTTCTCAAGTAGCTTTCACAAACTAGGAAGCTTCTCAAGCAGCTTCCACGAGCTTGAAAACTTTTCAAGTAGCTTCTACAAACTACAAAGCTTCTCTAGAACCTTCTAGAATCTTCTACAACTTTCTAGTATATATCCTTGACAGATTTGCATACCTAGAATGTGTGGCATGCCTATCATTGCAATGTCAAAAGATGATTCATGCATCTTTTTTGTACCATTTATGGCAATGGTATTAACATAAATTTTTTTTCATATGATCTTCATGGACTTGATTTATAAAACCAATTCATTCAAAATATTGATATTTCACATTATCAACAAAACTTCAACAAATCAAATATTTTTTGCTTATTTTTTCTTCATAAAAATTGAGACAAAGAATGATTATACCTAGACTTTGACTAAGATCAAGGAGATATTCATCATAAAGCATAAGGTGCAAGTTGTAGTAATAAATAAAAAAATTGTGTTAATATCACTCATTTATGTTCAATTGCAAGAAGCATCAAGTCTTCTCTATGCTTGGCACATCAACAAAAATGTGCTAGCAAATCTATGAAAAAAAACTCTGCTCAATAGTAAATTGTATAGAATTCATGCATAATTAGAACAAGATGATTGTGACTATTCATGAAGCAACATTCAATGCATCATAAGATGAGCTATTAGTTAAGTATCCCATAAATGTTCATGATTATCTTCACAAAATGTAGATTACTCATAAAGAGCACTTTGTCATGGCATGGACCAAACACATCTACCACCTAGACAATTTGGTAATATTTCAAGTAAAAAAAAAAAAAAAAAAAAAAAAAATACATGATTGTAAAATCATCGATCAACATACCATTTGGCAACCTAAGAGACATTTAAAAAAAAGCTGATGCTTGCAATTTAATAATATGTAGGCATCATTTATTGTCAAATTGTGTATCAATAAGCACACACAATGATCTATCATTGTAGTACAATCTGAGCAATAGTACAATACAAAATTATACACTATATTTTCTAGAAGATAGAGATAGAGGTTGAAAAGGCTTGTCACCTCTTAGACACCACAATCTCATGCTTAGATGTATTTCATTGCATGCTTGGCATGCTTTGTGTGATTATGATTTGTAATGTTTTTGCATCATCTACCAACAAATTAACCATGGACTTTTTTATTGAGCATTAATTGCTTGAAAAATCTGCAAGTATCTCTATTGATGGAAAACTTGACTTGCTTGAATAAATATTATAACAAGTTAAAGAACATCATGAGCAACTTTAGCTACATCAATAGTAGATATTGCAAGAGCAATTTGTTATATTATTATAAGAATAAGTAACACATGTCTAAGATCCAATAATTATACATATAAAAAGATGGTCCAAACAAACATGTGGATATTGTTCCAATAATAATACTTAAAAAGAGCCATTGGCTTTTGAACTTGAGCCATTGACCCCTTTATTAAGTTGAACTTGCAATCAATGACAATTGAAAAATGTTGTCTAATTAAAAATGAGATGCATGCCTAGCAAAAGGAGAATGTGTGCATAGTTGGCCTCTAAATTTAAACTAATAATGAATCTTTGTAAAATATAGAAGCATGCATGGTTTCATATATAAATATTAAGCTCTTAGTCCTACAATAATTTTATATTTTGTAATATATTAGAATTAATTATTATAATTCTTCTTATTTATTAATAAAAAAATAATTTAATTAATTTTTTAAAAATAAATTTTAATGTATTGTAACATAAGAATAGTTAAGCTTAGTTGTGCAACCTTTTTATTACTTTTACTACTTTTAATTGAATGATGCAAGTTATGTAATATTTAAATAATAATATAATTTTAAGTGTTATAAATTATTTGTGAAATAATTAAATATATAAAATTTTAAGTTTTAAGTATGAAGAAATTTATCCCAAATAGATTTTGAATATATTCATAATTTTTTAACTTCAACAACCAATATCAGAACCTTTTCATAGCCTATAACAGGAGTTTAAAGTTAAGACTAGGATCATAACTCACAACAAAAACATGCATTCCATTTATTGTCCATCCATTTCAAATTTTATCCAAAGCTTGGCAAATATAAAATTGGATATGCATCAAATTTGGCACAATTGTCAAAAGGATATTTGGAATTTTAACTTTCAATTGATTTTAATTCAAAAAGTTTACTTATTCAAAAATAAGCCAATAAATAAAGGTTATTACATGACAAACTACCATATTTCTAAAGCCCATGTTCCATCCAACTCAATAGAACTAATTGCTTTCCATAAATGATGCTCAAAATGCACCAAGATTCATTTTCCACCTATAGTACAAATGTTTGGTGCATAGTTGATGGAGATGCTTTTAGCCACAACCATCTCAAACTTCTCACTTTAATGTTTTTGGGCAATATAATAAAAATCTTTTTATTTTTATAGTATTCAGATGGATTTGGTCAACATTTCTACTACAAGTCTCTTAGCCAAGAATCAAATGGTTGCCAAAAGTTATTGAATTGTTATCAATCCTCTACAACAATGAAGATGGATACTTCACTTACCAATTCTTTTTTGAAGACACATTTTTAAATCTATTTTTGGAAACCTGTAAGTAGATCTATTCTTACATTCCAACTAAACAATCCTCAAAATTTAGAGACAAAATTGTTGGATTTTTTTTTTTTTTTTTTTTTTTTTACTATGCGTGTTACCGAATAGTATTCTGGCTTTACTTTTAAATCTGTTTGTTATTTATTGTTTGTTCTTCGTAATTTTCACCCACTCTAACCCTGGTCAGATCGCCGATCCTCATGCGCCTGCTGGAGCTTTGCATCGCAAAATCCGTGCTTGCTGGACAGATCGAAAGAGGAAGAAGAAGATAACAAACATTGGGACCCACATCAGCGATATTGCATGCCCGCATGTCTCTCCCTCCACAGCCCAGACTGTCGGTATTGGTGTGTGACCACAGCTTCGATCGAGGAGTCGGATTCGTCATGGTCACCGAGTGCCAGGTCCACCAGCGGCGCCATCTCCCACAACGGGACCTGCTTTCCACTGTCATCGAGAACCTTACAACAAGAGCATCGCAAGTGGCTGCTGCAGATGCAGAAGTCGAACCATCACTCGCTCTCATGTTTCTCGACAATATTCATCTCATCTAAGTTAGTTGCGTCGAGAAGAAATTTGCGTCATCCCCCGTAGAATCTGTAGCGTTGCGTTTGAAAAAACTGAAATGCAGGGGGGGGTGGGTACTTAGAGTCGTGGATGGTTTGGCCTCCGCGTTGTACAACGGGTTTCGAGAATTGATGCGCAAGACAGCGGTTGGGTTCACGCCCTTCTGTGTGAATTCTCATCTTCGAGTAGCAGACAGTCTCGACACAATATCTCTGTCGAGATTTAGTCATGTTCAATTCGAAGACACAATCGTGTCTTGATAATCAAGTCTTGTGTCAGTTTGGTTAACTTTACTCAGGTTGATAAGGTTCTGGCTTGGAGTTGCTGGGTACCGCATCGGTGCAGACACATAGATTCGCCCTTCGTCACTCACGGCGATTACGTGAGGTTTCTTGCAAGCAAGATGAGCGCCATCAGAAAAGCAGTACAAAAATTTACAAATATTATGCCGCCTTTAGTCGCACAAGACCTTTCAACGGCTAGCCAAACATGGGCTCCACGGCGTTGTCATTTGCAGAAGGAGCTGTGTGTGAGTATCCATGAAGCAACATTCTATTTCTTCCTCGGCAATCAGAGCAAAATTTTGGCCATCTCCTTCTCCTTCAGACCTATCACTTGATAAATCTTTGAGAAGCGGTTTTGCTTGATTTTCAAATCGTCGAGGCGAGTATATACGAACGCATTCAAGTGCTGCATCAAGCGTGGTCCAGGTTATGGAGGTCTCAAGGTTCGGCAACGCCAAGGTGAGCAGCCTCTCTCAACTTTGCTATCAAGTTGAATCGACTTCTCAATTCATCACAAACCTCCAACCAGATTTGCAGTAGAGTTCATATTAAAATGACATCAGGACAGGCTAGAGCAAGAGCGGGAGCGAGGAGAAGCGCATTCCAGCGATGGGATTACGCCAGACTCACAAAACCGCCACATACGAAACAGGGAAGCCATCAGCAACAAATGCTCAAGACGTCTCTCCTCAGTATACCACGCCTGTTCACCGTGAGGAGAGGGATTGATGAGCACGACGAGCAGCTCTCAGGCAACGCCATGGAGTCTGCGGAGACTGCCGACGGGCATATTCAAAGGGGTGATGGTCGTCATATGATGGCGGAGCGCAAGCGGCGAGAGAAGCTCAACGATCGATTCGTGACGCTCCGAAGCCTCGTTCCTTACGTTTCCAAGCAAGACAAAGTGTCGCTGCTAGGCGATGCCATCGACTTCATCAAGGACCTACAGCGGCAAGTCGAAGAGCTCGAATCTCGAAGGAAGATCTCCGAGAACCCCAGCAAGCCGCGTGTGGAGATCACAGTGGAGAACAACCGAGCAGTTTTCGAGATTTCTTCTCCTTGGCGGCAAGACCTATTGATTGCCATACTGGAGACATTCGTAGGCACCCACATGCAGGTTGAAGACGTCGCTGCCAAAGTCTCCAAGGACACATTCAAAGCGACCCTGAAAGCCAAGGTGAGTGACACAGTCGTTGTTTCGTAATTCGAAATCCCACGTCGCGTTCGTTTCGACACGCCACAGTGTAAACAATTCTGTGACCAAAACAATGGTGTGGGGAGTGTAGGTTACGAGTTCCGGCATAGACGACGACGACGACGATGAAGACAAAAAGAGCATAAAACAAATTCGAGAAACTTTGCTGAGTGTAGTTAATGGAAACAACTCTCCGACATTCGAGAAACTTTGCTGAGCAGATCAGCCTTTCCGAAGGCGTTCAGATCTTGCTTCTGAAACGATCTTGTGATCCCTAAGAATATGCAGAGGTGCCCATTGCCGATTTGAGCAACTTATCTGAGCAAATTCAGTGCTGTAGGTTGGAAACTCCCTTAAATTCCACATGCAGGTGAAAAAAGTACACTAAGATTTCCCTTCGAAAACTTGGTTTAGTAGTGTAAATCAGGGTACTACAGTTCAGTGTGGATGCTAAAAAAATCCTGATTAATTAGACACTACATTCTTTCATAGTGAAAAATCTTTTTATATTAAATCCTCAAGAGTAAATATCATTCGCCTAAATCAGTTATGGAACAATTTGTTGCACTGAAATAAACATCACGTAACAGTTACAGACTTCCGGCATTCAGGAGAATAACCTAAGCTGCTGATTTCTAATTAGGGGCGTAAGCAGCGGAAAATACTCAAATCAAGTTTGCTAAAAGTTCCACTTGACAGATACGACAGATGACAGTCTAGATTTCCTAACACAACCACCATGATTTACGCTAAGTGGAGCAGCGTAAATTACAAATGAGAAATTCGATGTTAAGAATTAATAAAGGCTCAATTCATTAGACATGCTTCCAAATTCGGGAAATAAACCCTGCAGAAAAAACACCCGAAGTTTCTAGATGATAAGATACGTATCCTTACATGTAGATTAGAAATGCTAAAAAACCTGTACAAGCTATCAGTCAGATTGACACAACTAGGGAAGGAAGGACGGAGGAAGGAAGGAAACTAAAATTAAGTGACAAATTGATTCAATAGGCACACCGACCAAGTAGGAACCATGGATCAATAGGAGAAGGAAGGGGCTAGCCAAGAATGAAAGAGACCTGGAGTCGTTGCTTCTCCACCACGACGCCTACATAGATGCACCTTAGCAAAGCTCCAATGTTCCAGTTTCACTTGCTTCTTTAATCTAATTGCAACCAGCGCTCAATTACGATCCTGCTCGACATTGAAGAATGGACATTTAGGAAAGCAGTGTCGCAAATATGAGACCTGTGCTGGAAAGAGAGTCTCAGAATCGAGGAAGATATCATTACAGGTCCTCGAAATCAAGTGAGACTTTCAGAGCATCTAAGCCCTAAATATTTCAAATGCGTCTTACAACGTTTCAATTGGACTAACATTAGAAAGACCTCTCCTAGACAGAGTCAATGATTACTAATATCAGGGGGGTGGTAGTTAGCATCATGGGAACCACCTTCTTTTAACCGAATAGCCGCCTTCAGCATTAGTCCTAAAGCTCGTGCCAACGGAGGTGGGACAGCATTCCCGATTTGACGATGCTTAGACTGGATAGTTCCAGAAAACTTGTAGCTGTCCGGAAAACCCTGTATTATCCCAACAACGGTCAGTCATGAAAAGTACTGAATACTGCAGAAAATTGACTAGATCATCGATCAAACAACTGTAAACAAGACACCAAAGCAGCATCCATAGACCGCTTTCTGTTGACATATAACAAAATTCAAGGCATACAAATGACGATTAACATCATTAATGCTTCACATTCGTAAAGTTGATCAATACAGTGAACAATGATGAAGACGAAAAATGAAAAAGAATGACAATCTACTATGTGCGGCAGAGGGCTGGTTGCCTGCACAAGTCAAGCCGCACAAGTACAGATGAGTACCTGCGAACGAGCGCACTCACGAACCGTCACAATGCGGTCTTGCTCGGGGTGGAAGCACATCCCTACTTTACCCATAGGCTGTGGATCAGTCACTGATGTAGGAAAGTTACCATCCCAATCCAATCGCCCGAACAATCCTTTCCATTGATTATGACGATCAGCAGTGTTGGGCAGACACCATGGGATCAAATCGACCATCGTTCCAGTTGACAGTTTTATCTGATTTCACGGCGGAACTCATACGTCAATTCTGGCACAAAAATCTTATTCAAAATTGATGACTGTGCAAAAGCAGAGCGGCATACTAACTGAGACCGTAAAAGTGATGAAAGAGAAAAACTCCCACGCAGACTCCATGGTCAATAACATAATGAGGCTTAATATATCATTCATGTAACTTTCAGAGCGATTATGGACGATACCTTAATATCAGGAAGAGTACGCCAATCCGCACCAGGATACTTCGGTATATGTTTACAGCGCTCAAGGTTAAGTTCGTTCATCTCTTTGGCAATGTGATCATACAAAGCAGTCTCATTGCCTCGAATCTGCTTCTGGAACCATGACACAGGTGGATCGCTATACTGCAAAACCAAGACCCAACCCTCAATTAACATTAAGCCCTGGCGTGTCTGCTTGTACCCTACTCAAATGAAAACGAGTTTCCTGCGTCAGCTTTAAAGTTGAAAACACTCACCAGATGATCGACCTACTGATGATTTAACGCCAAGAGCGTGAAAAATAACATAAAGTACCATCAAAATGCCTAAGTTCAACGATCATTGTGAATGTGATCCTACGCAAGAGCAGCTGATATCATCGAACACGGCATGAGAATGTTAAATTAGTCCTGATTAAGTGTCGCAAATGGATCCTTTTGCGGAGATACCTTAATTTCCTCCTTCGAGGCACCATTTTCGACTGGTGGTAAGTCGTATATAGTGTCCTTCACAGTCATAGCTCTCAAGGGCGCGCCTTTGCCAGCATCTCGGACGGCAGCATAAGACGCCCCACCAGGCAAAGCAATCTTTAGTTGAGAGCTACCAAAGACATGCATAGGTTCAGGCCACTCTGGTAATATCTCATTTGGGGCAGCAGCCCATATAAACGCCCGCTTGCGAGATTGAGAGACTCCATAATTACCAGCTTGGAGAACACCAAAACGAACCTGAATACGATAATGCATGGAAGTTAAAAGACAGATAAGGACTGCAAGATGAAAATAGATTTAAAACTGATAAAAGTGATGCCGTAATAATGTACCTACTCTGGAAAACACCAATCAAGCATAAAAACATCCACGTTGAAGTTGCAATACTAAGCAAATAATGCACGAAAATGACAGAAGGTGCTCAGATAATGATTGATGGCTACCTGATAACCCATTTCCAGAAGTGTGGCAAGCGTTAGACGAAAAGTTTGGCCTTTATTAAACGAAACAAAATTGCGAACGTTTTCCAGGAGAAAGTATCGCGGTCGGAAATACTCGGCATATGAGAGGAACCCTAGTATCATCTCACACTGAACTTTGCTCCACGCCCCCGTGTTAAATCTGTTCATTCCAGAAAATCCCTACAATCCCACCACATTATGACCTAATTAGTCATAGACGCAATATTAGAAAAACAGGTTATTAAAACCGATAGGTCCAATCCCTTACAAGCGAAGTATATGAAAGAATACCTGGCAAGGTGGTCCGCCATTAATGAAGTCAACTTCACCTTGTGCAGGTAGAAGTTTTTTCTTCTCGTCACTGAGTGCAGAAGCCATTTCTTGTGCATCAGGCGTTGAGAGGCACTCATCAGAATCTCCTCCTCTTTCCATTATGCATCTGTTCATGAATCCACACGCATGATGAATCCACGTGTTTTGACAAAAGGAGATCGTAAGGTGCTGCAAGACGAACAAACACTTACCTAGAAGGACCTATGCACGTTTAGAACGACGTCACTGTTTCCATGATGATGCTAGACATACCTGAGGATTACATTACAATTCTCACAGAACACGTTGGTTTCGGGATGATTCAAATTGAAGGCTTCAGATGCGGGATGCTCGTATTCAATTGCCCACTTCGTTGTTGCCACTCCTGCAAGTAACATTCGGACAACACTTACTCAGCCAAAATAAAAAGAGGAGGAAAACAACACAACGAGCCTTGAAAAAACCCAAGGACAAACTGCATGTGGGAGTTAAGAAACTATGCAGGGATAAGCGAAACAGGACTTGACCTGCTTGACGCAACCCTTCAGAGAGACCTCCGCAGCCAGCAAAAATGTCAAGAGTTGCGAGGCGGTTATCACAAGCAGTGAGTCCTGCAGAAGAAGGGTTATCCTCATCTTCAATAGCCTTTCCTTTTCCTTTCGCCTTGGCTTTCAGCTCAGCTGCCGCGCTAGAATTCTTTGTGTTATCGGTGAGTCTACAGTAAGAGCTCAGCTTTACAGTGGCTGGTAACTGCAATTTCCAGGGTTTATACGTAAGGTCACAGTCCCACACACAACTACAACTTCAAGCTTGCACAGAAATAGCAATGGCACAGAGACAAATTTCCGGGCGCAAGAACCTCTTCGCTCAGTGCAGAGACAGATGCAAAACTGCACACATCAGAAGAGCAACGAAAATCTTCTCAGTTACCTGTTTAACAGTCCCAGTTTTGGGATCGCAGACGCGGCTGCAAAGAAATAAATGGTGGAATTCAGATCTAATGGAACTGTCGATAACTGGACCAGGCCGAAGGACGTCGCAACGACCTCTGACAGTACTAATCTCCACGGTTACCGTATCTTCACTGTAATATACCTGAAACAAGGCACTTCAATATCAACACTGAACTAAAGATCAATCTGTGTGTTGTAAAATTGACGGACAAAAACATGAAGGTATTCAACTGCATGACTTAATGCCAATCTCGATGTTTCCTATTTCAAATAACAAAACAAACAGCTGGTTCATTAGAATGAACATTCTCAATCTGCCGTTCCATTCTTCGACATGATGAGATTAGACAGGGAAATTAGCAGACATATGCATACATTTGTGCCGTCAGCCAAGTGAAGCTCACCTCATGAACATCGGCTACATATGCTCTATGACTTCCAAAATCATCGGGTCTGTAGAATCTTTGCACATTAATTTTGGTAGCAAGTACATTACTTCTATTTGCCTTCTGGACGCTCAACAGCTGACAAACCGCGAAGGGCCGAAGCCCCTTGTTCCTACCACCTTTGAATACAACTTCTGCCTCGGGTTCATCCTTGTTCACCAAAAACTTGAATACAGTCGAATCAACATATAAATAATCCCCTATCCGATATTCCACACCCTCTAATCTAAATCCACCGACATCTAGAAGCGCAGGGGCGCTCATCTTCTCTTCCTCGTCACGCTGAATGCATGTTTTACAAGATCCATTCCCAACAGCCAGACCTTGCTCTCTTGTGGGTAAACTAAAGAAAGCTCCCTTATCAGGAGAATATACAGCACGACAGAAGTACTCCTTTGGAAGCCCTTGTAATTCTCTCTCTTTGGCTCTTGCCCTTTCTGCCTCATCCGCAAGGGCATTGGTCTTTCTATCTTTGTAACTCTCGGTTCGTCTCTTCATGTTCACCACAACTTTTTGTACACCAGAGATTTCAACATCAGCACAATTGTTGGTAAGGAAAACCTCTCGGTCATCGCCAGCATTGCCTAACACCGTTTCTGTAGCTCCCACCAAAACTCGACCGTGTAACATAGGAGTTTTATCCCGTGAATCATATAGATATTCCACCAATAACATTGAAGGAAGCTTCTCGCTGTCAACTGTATCGTCATCCAGATTTACAAGAACAGCCTCGCCAACAACAATTTCTGACCGATCGACATTTATCTTCTTCACTTTCTTCAAAGTTAGAGCTGAAGGCTTGGGTGCAGGGGCACTAGAGTCATCCTCCAATTCCTCTTCGTCTTCGTCTTCGTCGTCGTCGTCGTCCTCCTCCTCCTCCTCCTCCTCTGATTTATCCTCTTTGGCAACCACAGTCTCCTCCTCCTTGATGACAGTGGGCATCTCTCCAGACAAGTTGAACTTGGTATAGTAATTGCTCCAAATACGATTGACAAGAATCGTGGTCGTGGCACGCATAGGTTTGCTCTTCTTAGCATCAGGTTGAAGATGCGCGCGGGGATTCAGGTTCCTTCCCTTTTTAATGACAGTGGTCTTTTTGCTCACAGTCAGTTTCACGTGGTGCTTCTCCTCCATCTTGGCAATTAAGCCGGTTACAAAAGCGCTGCGGCGAATCTGTTCTTCAGGATACTCTGCAAATTGCTGCAGTATAATTTGTCCGTGGACAACCAAGTATCTCTCCACATCAGCAGCTTTTACGAAGTTGAACTTGGAGTCCTCTTTAAGATAATCTGTTAAACGTTTGACAATATCAGAAAAGGATAAGCGTGACACTCGCTGCTGCTGCTTCAGCATTGTGATGGCCTTGACAGCTAACCGGGCAGTTTTCATAACAGGAGCATACCAAGGCCTATACTGTTTAGAAGGTTTTCCAAGCCTATACCAAGCTCCGTCAGTGCGGATTGATATGAAGATCATGTTAGCTCCAAATTCGATCATCCATTCCTTAATAGCGCTGAGGTAAAGGCGAATGCCTTGAGGGATGCTGTTGCGTTTGTGAGAGATTCCATTCCCATTACTCGAGGAAGAGGTCGTCTCGATAAGGCTTGACGATACCTCACCATCCTCGTCGTCGAACGTAAAGGCACTATCCTCATCTTCTGTCATCATACCTGATCCAAAAATCTCAGCGTCCGTCTCCACACCTGTAACCACGATCCATGTGAGAGAATGCACGCAGTAGGTCACAAGATAAACTCAGGGACCCCATACCAACGCAAGTCAAAGATCATTGCTTACATTGCTCAGTATGTTTCTTTAAAGAGATGAATAGGCTTTCAAACCACAAGAAAATATCAGCTAATGACCAGGCAAGTCACGACAGAAATCAGCGCAGAGGCAGACCTGAGAGCATCGGGAGCAATTCCAAGGATACGAGTCGCGAATCAGAATTGTACAAAGTCCAATCATGAAGCATTCGTTGAGGAAGTTCATGCGGAGCGAGAATTGCGTTGTCATCATCAAAAAATAAATATTCATCGGTTTCGTCCTCCTCCGCCTTGTAATAAGCAGGTAAGGGGTAATCGTTCGCAATTTCAGCCTCGTTAATCTTTATATACACTTTGCGCCCTTTACCAGCTGGTTGGTTTCTCCCATTTCTGCAAATAAGATTGGGATTATTTCAACAAGCTTAGGACCTCCTCTTCAGATAATAGATCATACGAAAACGCAACGTGCAACCACACATATCATGCCTCTACAGACATTTTTATAAATTAAGTAAACATCACCTGCTTGCCAAATTGCGATTCTCCATCTCTTGAAGATGGCGGGCCAGTTTTTCATCGGCATCCATGCCACCCTGCTCCTGATCATCATTTTCCTCGAACTTAGAACTTGTACCGTTGGAAGCAGAAGCATCCTTAATTTTTAATGCTTCAGGTTTCACATCAACTGACCAGCGTTGTGTTGCTCGCTTCAAGCACTCGCTTTCGAGGACGTCGATGGCAGGCAATCCGCTAAAGAGCTGCTCGTCATCATCCGCATTACCATCTAATGCTTTTAGTTGCCCAGCTATGAAGCCTCCCTGTTCGATAAGGTAATCACGAGTAAAAAATTGCAGAGCAGAGGAGTATTTTCCACTGCGAAGGGAGCGCGCCACGCGTGCAAATAGATCATTCAGCCCAAGCTGAGGATCTCCACCAGTGGATGGGCTCAGGGCTCTGTAAACCTCCACACAAACAGTGACTTTCTCAAGCAGAAGATTGAAGTGCTTCTTGTACCTTCCTGATGGTTGCACAAGCGTGTAGAATGAAAGACCGGTTCCTATGTAAACAGAGGGTTCCCCTTTGTCATATCCCTCAATACCCCACTCCAAAATAGGCCCCATGCTCTCACATAGAACAGCTTTGCTTTTGTCGATTGACACAATTGAGGAAGTATGCGGCGCCATCAGGCATGTCACATAAACTTCATGGCTTCCAACAACGTCCAAGGGCTGCGTTTCTCCCTCACCATCATGAATGAAGAAATCGAGAAGCAAGCGAGACTCATCTTTCTCCTGGGATGTCAACACCAAGGCCTCCTGTTCCAGCATTGGTATCTTCTCATCCTTTGGGGTGACGTACTGAGCCTCAATCTCATGGTGTACCTCTTTGAGGCTAGTGCTTGCTGCGGCACGCTTGGGTCTAGGCCGCCGGGTTGCTGGAACCACGTCCAATTCTGCACCCTTCCGCTTCCTGCTCTTGCTTATTGGATTGGCAACTTCAAACTCCTCTTCAATCTCTGAGGTACTTGCTTTTCGCCCTTTCCTTCCGGCCACCGCATTCGGTTTTGGCTTCAGCATAGTGCCTCCCCCACCGTTGTCACATGGTTTCATTTTCATGGCGACCACTGCTATCCTTCCATGCACCGGACACAACAACTTACTAATCAATAAATGGATTGTATCTAGAAACAGAGTCACGCACTACAGATGAAAAAGCAACGTTAAGTTTGGCTGCATTGCATTCTGAACTCGAACTCGCTACACAAAAGTATTTCTTAAAATGAAAACAAAGACTGAATTTTCACCGAAAACATGCGTGCACCAGCCAACGCATAGCGAAAAAAATCACGTCAGTTGATAATCAAATAACATGGCTCCATCGCTGACGAAAAAATCCTCGAAATAGAAAGCAATGTGCATCGTGAAGACAGGGCACAAACATTGACAAAAAAACAATTTACAACGAGTAAGAACAATAATAATCAAGGCTTCCTGTCACTTCTCGGAATTGAGAGAGTAATCTTTGCAATCTTCACTCAAATTAATGCTAAAAATATCTGCTCTGAAATACTCCGCCCCTCAGTTCTACCACACACTCAACGAAAGTACACGACCTGATTACGCGCTGCATATCCAAGACTAGGATGTACTCCGCCCTGTGGGGGTTGGACAAGCATGTTCTCAGACTACCGATTGGATCTTGCAGTTCATTCACCAGAGAACAAGGCCCAATTCACCAGGTCGTGACGCAAAAACCTTAAACCCTAAACTCCATGCATCATTCAGACAGGTGCTTCAAAGAATTATACCGGAGATGGCAGATTAGATGCCCGTCATGAACCACCGAGAATCGGGTGGCCTTCTGACTCTCACGGAGACGACGACATGGGGTAATTAAATTCCCAGAAAGGAACAGAACTCGGTGTCTCTAAACATCAAACTGCGAGGCCTGCAGAGGGTGCGATGGTTGGACCAAAAATGCGCATCCGTTGTGACGCAATTGGGAGAGGAATTTGGTGGAGAAATGCGAGATCCGGAAAAGGGAAGGCAGCAATGACGCCAGGGCAAGGGGAACGGAGGGGTTGCTTGCTGTTTGTTCGATAGGCAATCAATCTCATGGCCCCGCCATAGCTGAGCGATTGATCTCCCGCGCTTGCACAGTTCCCTCCCCCGCGCCAAACGCAGTCCTCGCGAGTTTCAAACGTGCAGCTGGGTTCGTATTGGAGGAGGTGATCGTTACAGGTGGTCGAAACCGGGTATCAACTGCATTGAACTGGCGACGGGTATGCCGTACATCGCACTGAACCAAGTATCTGTTGCATCGAACGGGTTACGGGTATAAATTGTATTTGACTGAAAATGGCTATATATCCGGGTATTATAATTTTCTGGGGGGGGGGGGGGGGGGGACTAAGGTGACTTGTGTTGAGTGAGAGGAAGCCAAGACATAGATCAAATTATTTTTCTATAGTATTTGAGTGATGCAGCTTATAAAATATGACTATGAAAATTATAATAAATATAATTTGTGTTCAATAAAAGGTTATAAACAGCAAACATGAATAAATAAATATGTTTGATTTGAAATGTTTGATCAATTATTTCATGTTATTATTTTATAATAAAATTGATAAAAAGAATAATTGTATTTATAGGTAACAACAAGGTATAAGGAAAAAGTCTTGGATATTTTCAAAAATAAACAAAGTTTAAAATATACGGTATTTTGATCTTTTTTTTGTATTTTTTGTATTTTTTTGTATTTTTTTTTTCAGATTGATCTATTTGAAGTCAAAAATTTATCTACCAATAATCTATTTAAAAATTTTTTTTGGTTTTTAAAAGAAAATCATTTCATACTATAATGTTACAACAAATATATATATATATATATATATATATATATATATATAGATAATAGATACATTAATCAAATAGCTCAAATTTGTTGTGGAAATTTACATTTTTATTTTACATTTTATTTCTGTAATTATTTTATATGTATATTTGATTGTTATGGATGTTGTACTTTATTTTATAATTATTTTATTGACAATTATTTAGTTCATAATTTAATCTTTGGGTATTGGAAACATAAATTTGGGTATTTGAAGCTCCCAAGTTTATAATTTAACACATAATCTAAACATGTTTTTATACTGTTTTATTTTTATTTTAAAATTATATACTTATTGTTTTCATTAATAATTGACATTTTAGGAATCCCATTACATAATGTTTAATATTTTTACTTACAATGTATGTTTTTATGGCTATTTTGGTATGTATCAAATTGGCGAACCACAAAAACATATAAGTATATTATTTTCTATAAGATAGTTTTTACAATGATGAAAAAAAATCTCAATGTATAACTAAATATATTAAGTTTTTAGTGAAAAAATTAATCTCAAATGCTACATTTAGTTATTACAGCACATAATAAATTTTGCTAATGGTTTTGTAAAAGTAATGTATTATTGTTTCCATCTTTGATTGTATTGTGTTTATTTTCAAACAGAAAATAAAATAAATAAATATAACATTAGTTGCTTTACAAACCGAATTTAAATTTTATTACCAAATTTCATACAATGAAATGGAACACTTTATATCACAATATTATAGGTTTAAAGGTAGGCTTTATTAAGAAATTACTTGCATGATTATCTTAATGTTTATATAAATGATTGACATATTAAATATGATAAGGTTCAAAATTGGGTTTTTCCAAAAAGATAAAGTGGGAGAAATTAATAAGGATTGATTAAACCATAATAGTATAAGAGTTCCTTAACAATCTAAACAATGTAACCATGAATAGTAACAAAAGACTATTAATAGTATTCTACAAATACACAAAAAAAATAAGCTTATTAATCCATCAAATAACCAGGGTACATTTGTACTAAAATTTAGTAGCTAAAGGTGAGAATCGATGAATTTAAGTAAATAATAAATTCCATCTCAGTAATATTGAAGATCAAATGCTTGAATTGTTACATCCTTATATTAACATTTACTATTGCACTCTTTTACATTTCCATGCAAGAGGTCAAAAAGCTCAAATCCTTTTGTACTTAAAATAGCAAATTATTTTTGCTCCTATTCTCTATCCTTGCCATTAAGAGTGATTTAAGACTGATTTGACAATTCGAAATGCATATATGAATACTATGATAAGCAAGCAAACCAAATAACTTGAAATCTATGAAATTCATTGAATAGAAAGGAATGTCTTTTACAAAATTCACCAACACATTCTCCTTAGATACTAATTGAAACAATGGTTATCCCTAGCCATAGAATTGCTAGATAGATAATTGAAGATACATAGATTTTTGATAACACTATTTGATTACATATCATAACTTCAAGATGTCTTAACCTATGTAGCATGTGATATAACGTCCACAAAGACAAGTATTAAAACCTTTCAGGGCAAAAACTTGAAAGTGATATAAGCAGTGATAGTAATGTTAACCTCAATAAAGAAGTAAAATATTTGTACAAGTAAGGAGAATGAAATTGTCTTGGAGCCCCTTCTACCTTAGCAAAGACAACTTGAGAATGTATTTAAGTACCCGTCTGCTAAGTTTCCAACGGAAAATGTAAAAGAAACCAACTGGAGGTGTCTAAATTATGAGCTTGGCAGGTTCTGCAAAAATGCCAGAACACCTATCCAAGAGTATTCAAATGACTGGAGGGGAATAAGTAACGAACCACTAAAATGTCAAAAGACTCCAAACAGGCCTTGATCACTTGAGCTAAGGCTTTTAAATCAGCCTGTAGTAGATTATGAGAAGTTGAACCGAGTTTTTTTTTTTTTTTTTTTTTTTTTTTTTTTCACACAATACACTGTGCAAACAGGACCCAATACGATCCATGTAAGGGTACTTAAAAAGGAAAATGTTCCATTGAGTCGTTTAAGAGAACTCAACTCCTGCACCTTCCATTGCTTGGGTGCATATCTCATTCACAACTCACATCCGTGTACATGCAATAGTTCCATTGCTGATTGTAAGTCATTAATAGCAAAAGACCCATGTGTGCAGGAAAAGCCACTCCAATGCCCTTTGGTAAGGCTTGAAAATCAGCTCCGAAACTACAATACCCCCATGATCGTCACTGCTTCCTCGTAACTCTGCTGGAACCGTCCAGGCAAAGGGAGGACGATTTAGAACAGGTTAACAGCATTTAGCATGGAGAAAACAACAACAACAGCGTTCGGCATCAAAGAAAATCGAATAAAGCTTCTAAAGTTTTCAAAATACAACTAAATAGGAATAATCCGTGGTGCGTGCCATGGTTTGGAATTCTTGGTTCAAAGCTAACCTCATTATGCAGAGACGACTGCCGCAGAATAAGTTCAGATCGAGACTTCATATCAACCCTGAAAGAACACAGACGAGAAATTAGCACAAGTGGAAACCTATTCACCACAATGCACACCAATAAATCCTCGAACAACTTTAGAGATCAATCTATTTGGGCTGCAGGTAGCTATCCTGAACCACACCTTGTCAGGCACAGAAGCTTGGTTTTGTAAACGCTTCGGTCTGGAATTGAGGTCGATCATTCGAGATTGATTCTGAACCAAACAATCATCTAGTAATAAAGACTCCTCATCACCGGCTGCAATAGCAATAGCTGGAGCATTGCTATTATCTCGATCACAACTGGGTTTAGACGCAGGCAATCCTGCCCTAAGCTCGTCTTCGTGATGATGGTGATGGTGGTGATGGTGATAATGGTGGTGGTGATGTTGATCAGGTAATAAAGTTCCATTTTTGTCAGCAGGTACACTGTTCGGCTCAGCTGTCGGCTTCTCAGTGTCCACTGTGTCTTCAAATCTCAGCTTTCGAGAAGGAAGCTGCAATTCGGAAAAGAGTCATACAAATGAGGCTTTTGGTACGCAATTGAAGCTTCCCAAATTAAGTTGGGACCAAAAGAATACTAAGCGTCCGCTGACTCAAACTGGAACTTGGTAATTGAGATAAGTATTTTTTTGCTTACAGTCAGAATCATAAAAATCTATAGCTAATATCACGCATGCCCAAAGCAGTAAAAAAAAGAAAAAGAAAAAAAGACAAAAAAAAGCATAATTATACTAGTAGAAGAAGAGAAAGGAAAGAAAGGCTGCTTCATCTCAGTCCACGATAATAGGAATCAACACCGATATTTGCCAGCAACGACCGTTTAACTCAACAAAGAAGCCTTAATAGCTAAAAACTAAGAAAGCTACAAATGCGTCGAACAATCAGCCACAAATGGAGTGAGAACCATAAAAATTCTGAGCAGACAGTGTAATTTAAGGTTGAAACATATCTTCTGAAAATTCACCAATCGTGTTAACATAATTACATGGCAAAGGCAGAGACTCTTGATAATGTAGTACAACATTTACCTCCACTCTTTGTCTCATCATAAGATAACGCTCATGTGCCTTCTTTCCTCCGACGTGAACATCCATGTCACATTGGAGACACAAGGACGTCCCATCAACTCCACAGAAAAAAAATGCTGCAAGAACCAATAAGTGGAATAAGCTCCTCAACAGTCACAGAGCTTCAAAAACATGTAGCAATCCTGATTAAAAGAAGGAAGGCAAGGTTGACGAGTTCACGACAGAATAATCAACCGCATAGGCAAAGTCAGAAAAAGTTATACCTGGAGCATTCTCACATATATCACAACGAGGGACGGGTCGAGATTCTGCCAGCTCAAGTCGAACATGTCTATATGCTAGCTTGTTGCAGCTGTGAACCTTCATATCAATGTAAGTGCGTTAGCAAGTGAACATTTGAACGACCAAACCAGCAAACAACAAAATAATGAAACGGTCGTGTACTCTAACATGTCTGCAGATGGCAATCTAGAGGTTCAAATTTCCTTCTCGATGTGTAAGTACTGAAACATATTCTCAGAAATCATCGATTGCCAAAGTTCAATCGTATGACACTGGCATGATCTCATTTAGATGATGATACAGGGCAAAGACTATCACAAGTTTCACATGGTGTTTCCACTCGGTTTTAAGTCATGCACCCTACCCAGTAAACGATCCTCTCAAGGAAGTGTATTCTCGCCATGATGAGGCTCATCATACTCTTCACAAAACGGAATGGAAACCAAAACTCTAGTACATTGCTACCCAACTTTCTGTAGCAAATTGTGAAAGATCTAATATTCTAATTTCCTACATGAAGCCACTATCGAGCAAGAGGATACACATATTTAAAAGAAAATGAAATACATGAGATAAATTAAGCGCCCGCTGGAACCAATATGACATTCGCGTTGGTGCTATGTAAAATAAAGCATCGTAAGAAAACCCGAGTCTTCTGGAAGAATGCCAACGTGATTGAAGTACCTTCTCATCGCATTTCAGGCAGAGCGCAGCTTCGTCTGCAGCACAAAATAGCCGAGCAGGAGCCGCTTCACACACATCACACAGGGTCCTCATACTTGTCCAACCACTCCTTGTATGTGCGCACCAATTCAGGAAAACAGGCAATAACCTCTTGAGTCTGAACAAACTCTCTTCCACCGATGTGTTACAACGATGGCCCCATCATCCCTAACCAATTGCTATCTAATGGCCATGCTCACAGGCGTGAATCGGTCATTCAAATGGGGGTTTCGACCTAATGCAAAGTCCGAAAAGAAGCTCTCCAAATTGCACGAACCCTGTGTCAGCATGGCCGAGTGTGCATCGGGATCAAGCAACAGTCACATACAGCGGTGGGTACGCACTGACATACGGACGAAATATCAATTTGAAACATCTCCGCCAAGGCATAATACTAGAGAAACAGTCATAGTGGCATGTAAACCACGGCTGTGTCACGACCCGGGACTGAAACAGTAGTGATGCTGACGTCAATAAGATATGGTAGGAGAAGGCGACAACAGCAGGATAGAAGTATTCGCCCACCCCTACAGCTAGTCCGAATCTCCACGAGTCGCACATCAGTCGTTGTGAGCACTTGAAACAATCTCACACTAAACTAGAAATGATGTCTCTAATCCAAGCAGCGAGGAACGACACACACATCCGTAAGCATGTCAGTCAACCTTTCACCGAAATTTCCTTGGTTGATGTACGGGAGCTGGCGCGAGAAAAAGAAAAGAAAAAGAAAAAACCCTGAAATGGGTGGTCAGTAACGAACGCGCGACATCAGATGACGCGCAATTCAAACGAAGCAGACACAACACACAAACGGCAACCCCCGTCCATAAACACCACCCGGACAGACACTCAACCCCGCATTACGTGGACCTTTGCAACAGCCGCCCTTCCCATCACCACCATCACCACCAACAACTCAAAATCTACCCTGACCTCGCTCAGGACAGCGAAGCTAACATCCGGAAAGCGACAAAGACAGCCAGAGGCCAGAACAAAACGAGTCACGAACGAGCCACCAACGAGCTAAACATACCCCTTACGATCATAACTGTAAATATAACAAAAATCTCCTCCGCGACATGCGACTAATCGAGAGCTCCGGAAGCAAATCTAATCGAGAATGAAGGATCCGCAACTCGTACGGTGGAAAACACTCGACTAAAAAAGAGGGCAAAAAGCAATACGTAGCGAGGAGGAGCAGTGGATTGAGGAGAACCTGGACGGCGACCAACGGACGGGGAGTCTCAAGGGCACAGGATGTGGTGGCCTACGTGGCTGAAAATCGCCCTTGCCCTATCACCCCATGCTTCCCCACACAGCCCGGCTCACCATTTTCAATACCGTCGCCCGCTGCCACTTGTCGCTTCAGCATTGGTCGGGTCAGTTGCAGTAGCCATTGCCGTAGGTTGCCGCGACGCGTCCTCTCTCCCGCCGCCACCCTCTCTTATCCTCGTCTTTACTTGGCTATGTAGTCCTTCTACCGCATCTGTGTTTGGCTCTCATGCTCTCGTGCGCTCTCAATTGTGTTGTTAGTTTTAGTCTGATGCTGCCTTTAGAAAAAACACTTACTCGTGTCCAGTCGGTCTTTCTGAGGCACTTATTCGTGGTTTACGTACGTTGGTGTAGCACTTTTGGAGAAAGATGTGCTGACGATTGCTTTGTCCGATTTTGCGTATGGTGTCACGTTCGTTGTCGCCGTGAGTTGGCTTTTCATTTCTCCTCTGAGGCCTTCGTAAGTGTGCTCCTTGCTGTTCCGCTTGCCACTTTGCTGGTCGCCTTTGGTCATGTTGTTACTTGTCTTAGAATCCACAAATAGTGTGTTTCGTTTAAGGTCGAGTTTGTCGTGAGGTTTGCTGCAGCTTGACTAATGGTAGTATGAGGTGCACGTTGTGTATCGCAGTTTGGTTATGTCATGTTGTAGTGGATGCATTTGCGCGTGCATTTTTGCACACCAGTGCTTCTAGTTTCGCACCATCATAAAAGCATATTTCTGCTTTGCGAAAACTCGCCAGAAGTTGAATTGTAACCAAAGGAAAGAAATCAAAATCCAAGAGAAATACTTCTCCAGCTGTATTTCTTCAAACTCCTAATCCAGAGACTGGTACGTGCTGCATTTAGTTCGATATGCAGGAATGCTTTAATGCTATTATTCCCAATGATCCCAGACGTTTTTGACATCCTTCAAAGCCTTCCAACAAGTAACTGTTCATTAAATTGTCTTAAACAGTTCTGAAGCGGTACCGTTTTTAAAAAGTGAGTAATTCAAAAATTGGATTGAATATTAATTTATCCTGAAGTGGAACATTATGAATGCAAAACTATTTTCAACAGCTCCAAATTGTTCATGTAGAATAATCAATTACTGAATTTGATGACACTACTCAATTTCATCATCACAATTTCAGATTATATCAAAACAATTTGAAGTTGATTTGTGCCCGCAATTGCACAGAAAAGAAAAAGAAAAAGAAAACAATCAATGATAGCACATAAAAAGAAGATAGGACGAAGTTTTCATCATTGAGTGTTATTTCAGAGTTTTTCAAATTCAATATGCATTTAATCAGAGGTTAAATATATACATATACTTTAACAATTTGAAATCTATCATAGTTCAACTTTATCTGATACTTTATTTGAGATATGTAAAAATTAAAAAATTAAAATCTCAAGTGTTAGATTTTTAAACGACAAGTATAAACCATTTAAATATTAAAATAAAATTTATATTATTATGATTGAAAATGTGCACATTATGTATGAAATTAATTATCTTGTATTCAAGAATTGTGTTGGAATAGATAAAAATGGTCCCAATTCCAATTCTTTGTTGTTTTTGCATTAATATAAAATATTTGTAAAAAATATTTCCAAGCATTATTCTAAAATAGACATCTGTTCTTCAATAGTTACATAACTATTTCTTCAATTTGGTTCATTATTCTTACAAAATATTTTATATTGAATCCTTTAATGAATTGTTCTATTTATTTATTTATTTATTTATTTATTTTTTAACATGCATGTATTCTTTTAGCAATTGATTTACCATTTTTATATGCATCTTCCTAAATTTTATTAATGTTGTTTACATTAGAATAATTATCACAAGGCTATAATATCTGCCTTTATATTTATAAAATATGCCGCAATAAATTATATTAACATTTTACAACAAATAAAAACTAACATAAAAAAAAATAAAAAAGAAAAAATGTTATGTGGCATATTCACAAAAATAATATGCATAATCTATAAAGGATTAAAAATAACGAACTAAAATTCTACATCTTCAAAATTCTAAAACTTCATTTTTCAAACTAAATCTACAAAATTAGGTTCCAAAACGTCTTTTTTAATATTAATAATATAATCTTATGATTAATAATTTGAATATTATTTTTATATCTTTTTTTAGAAATAAAACTATTATATTTTTATTCTTCATATATATACAATGAATGTTAACAAAAGTTGTTAAATGATATAAAATTAAATAATTAATTTTTCAAAACCTATGTTTATTATTAAAAAAAATCAAATACATCTTTATTGTATTATAATAAAATTTAACATTATAGTTAGTATCTTTGTTAATATAATATAAACATTACAAATCTTCTAAACAAAAATCTACCATATATATATATATATAATTAAAATTAAAATTTACTAAAATTATATAAAAAATTATATTTATATATATTTATATAATAATTTTTTATATATAAAATAAAGAATAATTTGAAAAACAATCAATATTAAAAATAAACATACAAATTGACAATTCTTTACTTCTTTTTTTCTTACATTTTGAGAATCCATCCTATTATAACTTAACAAGCATCTTACTTTCTTACTACAATTTGTGTTAGAAATAAGAACTAAAAGAATGTATAAAACCAAGAAAGACTTTTTTTAAAGAGAGATCAAATAAATAAAAATGTATATTCAAGAAGAAACTAGATGATTCTTCATTCTTGCCTCTATATATACTATCTAAAAAAGAGCTATAAGGCGATGTTTTATTAGACCTCCAATACATGTCTAATTGTCACGGCCATAATCATGTAAGCTAATAATTACATATAGAAATAGGTAGAAGTAAGTAAAAGTAGATAAAAGTAAGTTAATTCTATAATATTTAATATAGAAGCTTCTTAGAAACTTCCTAGACGCTGCTTTGACTTCATAGGTGTCTTTAATTGACTTTTTGGATTAGAAACGTGGTCAACAAGTTGGCCATGTGCCACACATGTTGTTAGCTTGAAGATCAAGCTAACTATGTGGCCCACACGTAGAAAAACTTGCCTTATAAGTCAAGGCATGTGTCCTACAAAGTCAACACATATTGGAGGTCCTATAGAACGTCGCCACGTAGCCCCTAGTTAGATAGTATATATAGAGACAAGAGTGAAGGCTTCTTCATTCTTGTCAACTCCTTTCTTGCTTCTAGTCCAGGTTCAAGAGTCTTTAGTTTCTTGTCTTGTGGCAATAGCCATTCCAGTTTTCTTTTAATATACCTACTTGTTTATATTTTGACTTATTATATCGAGATAGCCTTTTGGTGTATATTTTCCCTCATCGAGTCTTTGTCCTTGACAGATTGACAAGAGTACACTTACAATATCAGAGCTTTGTTTTTTCTTGAGTAAGAGTGGATTACCCCTTTCTCTTGACAAGACATAAGCGTATTAGAAGTTTGCGGATTACCCACTTCTAAACTGATATTGTTCTTAGTATCTTCTTTGTTATTAAGTCTTTCTTTTCTTGAGCAATATCAAACAAATTTTTCTTCTTAGTGTCATTATGGCAGAGCTTGTTGAAATGAAGAGTGCAATGGCACAAATGCAAGAGCAAATGAGGGAGTTAATGCTTGCGATGCATCAACTCAATTCACCAAAACAGGAAAGAATAAGAATAGCAGAAAGTGGAGATATAGAGATGATCGGAGCTGCTTCAACATCTACAACAAATCACGTTCCTTCTCCAATTGTACAACACCCTATAAGCACTAGAGAACCAAGAATTGCCTTACCTGAGAAATTTGATGGTACGAGATCAAAGTTTCGAGGGTTCATCAATCAAGTACAATTGGTAATTGAACTTCAACCGCAAAGCTATCCAACTCCAGGATCACAAGTCAGGTTTATTGGCACTCTACTTTCTGGTTCTGCATTATCGTGGTTTTCGTCTTTTCTTGAACAACGAAATCCAATATTGGACAATTTGGAAGCTTTTTTGGTGGAGTTTCGATCTATGTATGGTGAACACGATGCAACTCGTGTTGCAGCAAATAAGATCCGAATTCTGCGACAAGAAAATCGCTCAGTAACAGTATATGCTTCACAATTTTGACAACTTGCAATTGACATCAAGTGGGATGATGCTGCACTCATTAGTCAATTTCTTTATGGATTGCAATACGAAGTAAAGAAATTGATGCTCAACTTACCTGATCCTCAAACTTTGAGTCAAGCAATCGATTTTGCGGTAAAATGTGATAATCGACTTTTCGAATTTCGATCCGAGAATCATTCACGGGAACCTCAACGTTATTACTCAATGGCAACATCAACATCTTTGCCAAACGTACATTCAGAAGTAGAAGACATGCAAATTGACGCGGTACGTTTTAAATCCCTAACTGAGCAAGAAAAGATTCGTCGTCGTCAAGAAGGATTATGTTTATATTGCGGAGAACCTAAGCACACTGCTCAACATTGTCCAAAGAAACGACGCAACTATAAAATGAGGGGTACGACGGTCAAAGAAGACAACATGTCGGAAAACGGATTCGTCCAGCTACAATAGGGACCGTGCAGCTGGAACCTTGTACAATTCCTAATGAAGGTCCTATCCTCTCCTCAGAACCCTCTCCTTGTTTTATAATAGACTTATATTTAGGACCTAAGAATTACAAAGCCTCTGCTTTATTAGATTCGGGAGCCTCAGCATGTTTTTTAGATGAACAATTTGTTAAAAGTCGTAAAATACCCTTTGTACAGAAACCTAAACCAGTACATGTAGAAGTCATAGATGGTCGTCCCTTGTCTTCTGGAGATGTCACTCATGAAACTCATCCTATAAAAGTAACAATAGACGGTCATGATAGCTACATAGCTTTTAACATAATTAAATCTCCATCCAATCCAGTTATTTTA